AACATTTTGACCCGAGAGTTGTTTGCAGGCAACTAGTTGCCCAACATTTTCACCCGAGAGTTGTTTACAGACAACTAGTTGCGCAACATTTTGAACCGAGAGTTGTCTGTCAAACAACTACCAACTATTGTAGTTGTCCAGGGTGTGAAATGATGCTGGCATTATCACAAAAGTGGGCCCTAAACCAAGAACACGGGCAAATAGTCGCGGGACAATGAGCGGATCCACTGCCGTCTCAGATCCCTGGACATGAAAATCAACGTTCAAAACAAGGTCCCTCGGCAATACTGCATCCACATCGAAGCTACGACCACTGCTGTACCCTGACAAGGCTACGCTGAGAGTGACATGAGGATATGAGGCGGTCAAGCGAAAACTTGACCGAGTCAGATTCTCGGAGAGGATCTCGACGCCCTCGTTCACCGTTGATGGGGTACAGTATGAATATTCGAACAAGCTCAGTATGGACAGTGGGCAAAAGCATTAGCATCCGTTCGCACATGGTTCAGCCAACGGTATAATATATACCGTTTGCTGCTAGCATGGCCGGTCGCAGTCATGAATCTTAATTATGCTCTTGGCTTACCTATTGCATTGTGCGTTGATGCCGATGTTGGAGATGTAGTGGAACCATTGAGTAGGGACGTACAGGACTTCTCCAGCCTTAAGCAGCACCTCGGATATCAGCGTCTGACCAAAGAGGGAAAAAAACACCCGGGCGTTCATCGGGAACGTTGTTGAGCAGCCATCCCGAGTTCTGCAACACTACCGCTGTATCCAGCGCGTCAACACGAACGGGCAACTGAGATCCCTCGTCGCGACACGTGGGTATAGTCCACCCGAGCATGTGTTGGTGTGGAAGGGCAATGTTTTTGTAAGCACGTGACGTTTTCAAACCAACTCACAGCTTTGCAAGGCTTCATAAACAACCTCATGACACTACAGTACCGATTCCCACGGGTATCCTCACCGCAACACGAAATGGTTCCGAGTAAAAGCCGGGGTGCCGTAACACTTAACACGACGTTCTTTCATGGAACACCATCGTCCACCAAGAACTAGCCACCAACAAACCCCGCATGTGTCAATTTTTTCCGCTTTTCGAACGTATCGAAGGCGCTGCAAGAAGCGCCCCCAAACCCTCGCTCACCTTCGGGAACTCGGGGAACTTCTCCAAGTCCGGGTTACTCCAGTCGACATCGCTGTGCCTGCCCGACGGGTGGGCTCTCGGAAGGAGATACATGCTTTTACACTGGTTCGGGTGAGCCATGATCCACCGCCTGACCCCCGAAACCATGGCCACCATGTTGCGGCTGCCGTCGAAATGCGCTTCAGCGATTACCTTTGGCCCATGCGAAAAGGAACAGGGGACACAAAATGCGATGCGATGCATGCCGTTCTCAGGGACAGTATCTGTGAAAGGGGCTGGTCACGTGCATTTTCACAGTACATGTACCCCATCACTCCATGTAAAAAAAAACAACGTCGACAGCAGGTGTTAGCAACCACAGTCAACTCGAACGAATCAGGTCACTACGGCAAGGTGCAGCAAGTACACCCACTCAGGCGGTAAGGTGTCAAAACAGAAAAACATAACATCGCGCCAGAAGAAAAAACTCAAAATACGGCGCAGCTGGGTGAAAGGCTAGGATGCATGCAAGACACACCGTGCTGCACGATAGAGCACTGCACCACATCGAGCCCGGTTGCACAAAATAACATGCCCCGTTAGGTTGTTCCGCTCAACACAAAACGGACGAGATATGTGCAGCACAGCCGAACACAGACCAAGGAACACTACTTGACAACTTGCGAAACTTTCATCTCACCCCAGGCATGCCGAATCTGCAGTGGATACCCCTTTGCCCACGCGGGTCTACCAGGAAAATGTTTCCTTCCCCATTCTCTGGCTTCTGGAAAATCTCCATCTCCTTCAGCACAACCTGGAGGAGGAGGATAACAAACACCAAGGGCACGGTGCCACCCACAGGGAGGGTTAAGGGCTGTGTACAAACAGTTGCAGGTCGTTCGTCGAAGACGGGGGATGCTGGGATGGGGTTGTTGTTACACTAGGGTTGGCTAGTGAACCCATAGATTTATGAACAATCACAATCCCTTAGTACATACGTCTCATCGCTCCTACCGCTTTCGGACACTTGAAAAAAAAAAAAAAAGACAGCCAACGCTAGACGACAACCGAAGAGGTGTACCACTAATGAGGGGAAAGCAAAGAGCAGCAAAAACAACGAAACCCCCATGCTTCAGCCCACAGGACGCGCCGAGAAACAGCGGCAAAAGAACTTACACGCCTTAAACGCCGCCGATGAGTCTGACAAAACATTGGGAGCATACAAAACACGATCCACATGGCCAATGTGGACACCATATCCTTTACGATCCTTCGATGTTTGCTATTTCCCACAAATATGATGCAAGGGCCAGCCAACCTCAACCGCCACTGTTCTTATTCCCGAGTCTAGTCTGCTGCCGGACACGTAAGTGGGTTACTCTCGCAGCACGGCAGCTGCAACACAACTTCAACAGTTTTCGCATAGAAGGGTTGAGTGCAACGGCTCGCTCACAGCACCAACAAAACGCACCACAATTTCCGCTCTCAGACAACCCAGCGAAACGAGTCCGGCGAAACAATAGATGTTGTTATTTCGGTTCACTCCAATTGAATAAGCTGCGGCTCTCCACCTTGTTGTTAGCATCCCCGACCCTGAAATACCAGTGCTCTCCGTCCCCCTTCCCGTGCTTCAAGGCTAAGTCCAGCCACTCGCGGTAGCTCAAGTTTACCGAATCCGTCGGTGGCTTCCAATCAGTCAGGTTGAGTTCCGAGTGCTGGCCATGCTTTGCCTGTTGTGCCTGTTGCCGTGTCAAGGTGCAAGGCAAAGAAATGCAGAAAGGCAAAAAATTACATACTTTGGGTTCAAGTTCAATGCTTCTCTCTACATCATGATGCTACATGGATATTGCATACTCGTGCCGGCAACAACAACAACAACAACAACAACAACAACAACAACAACAACAACAACAACAACAACAACAACAACGTAACGCGCACCAGTTTGTGGTTGAAGTACATGAAGTGATTGTCCGTGGAGTGCTCCGTGGCATACTTTCTTGTGGCCCCGAAAATCTTCTCCATGTAAGCCGGGTCACTCCATCGCCCAGACGCAGCATCCACCGAAGGAATGTTGTACAAAATGAATGGCTGCAGACCGTCACAAAACAGAGAGAAAGTCATTGGTTGCTAGCACCTAGAGAGTACAACAGGTGAGAGTTACTGTACAGCAGTAGTGGAAACGAAAAGAGTTGGGATAAAGAATGGTAAGGACAGCTGTGAGCTCCCGCACGTTTTCGTCGTACTGTAGGGAAATGCAGGAGCGCAGCGGAATCAACGAGACGACTCATAATCTGGTAGCCGAGCAGCAGAGAGTGGCCCGGACACCGGCTAATATAAGCAGCAGAGGACGGACGATAGAAGCAGAGGGTCTAGTCTGGTCGGTCTGGTCCAGGTCTGCTGATAACGTCACCTACCAACCAAAACCTATTCCACTATTCCACTATTCCATTATCACCATTATCACCACCACGATCCACTCTCAAGGATAGGTGCCACCTCAGTCTATTTGCCTACAAAACGCATAAAAATAGCTCACCTTTTCCGCGGCGCTGTACCTCTCCGCTTTGGCCAGCTCTCGCTGGTAGTCGAACCTGAGGTTGGAATTAGCATCATGCAAACGCCCCAGTCAAGACACCCATCGAGGGGCATAAAAAACGTACTATCGATCCGCACATCTGAACATGCCATTACCCGGCAATCGCGCAGCAAACTTCAGAAATGGCACCAACGTCAATCGCACGCAACGTCAATCGCATGCAAAGCACAGGACCCCAACCACCTTTGGGTATTGGTCGACTATTTAGCTGGTTGTGTACGCTGACCACGATGTCACCAGGTCTAAATGAAGCCTGTCATGTCCTTCCTGCTGCCTCCGAACCCAACCACTCTACTCCTAGAGGCATGCATGACACCAGTCACCTGCATGTAGAGAGATAGTGTAGCGGCGGAACTTGTTCGGCATCGTCCGGGTTCCAGTGGTTTATGACGTCCATGGCAGGGTAGCCCTTGGGGTAGTCGGCCGGCGGCGTGTCGGGACACTCGAAGGCCTCCATTGGCAAACTCTTGAACTTGCTGAGAGGGCAAAAACGACGACGCCGACAGAGGCAGAGGACAGCGAGCGGTGTTGCCGCGAAGACGAGGCAAAAGCCACCGAGCCGCCAACAAACCAAACATCGGTGTACCAGGTCGAAGGCCCGCAAACAGCGCACGTGGGAGTCAGCTTCGAGGGTACGGGTTAATATTGGAGACTTCAAGAGTAATACCAAGCGCCTACATCGAGAGCATCGAGAGGAGAATTCTCTTGGCATCGCATCGAGAGCGACCGATCCAAACAAGTGTCCACAAACATAGGAGGGTCAGGGGATACACACGTGTGCCAACGTGCAGCGTGTAGGGACGAGTGCTATGACAAGAAGCAGCTACAATAGAATAGAATACAAAAGACCACAAACAAACAAGTCCTGCCAATGAAATCGCATCGCAATAAAGACACACAGGCCCACGGTTGTTCGATTACCGTAGGCGTGGGACCGGCTTGGTGACATGCTTGGCGTGGTGAAAAAAACGATGCAACCGCAGACCGAGGAAGGACGTTCGCTAGTCAGTCAGAAAGACAGACGGCAGTGTGACTCAAGCAGACTGACCTAGAAGCCATGAAATCCGGAGCGAGAGGGTCCACCACCCTGTCCAGTCCCCGCAGGTGCTCCGGCGTCGCGTAAAACTCCTCGTCACTAATCTGCGGAATCGAAGGTGCCTTCAGAGCACACGTGGCATGGCAAGCGTACACGTGGGGCAGGTGTCGGTTGAAAGCAGTCTACTAAGTTCTAGCGCAGCACAGATGAAGGCACGATTTTTTTCCATGTCCACACTTCTAGGGCTTGGGTAGCTCAGCCAATTGGTTGACAGCAGTGAAGGAGCAATTCAACAGGGGGTAGGCACACGGAATTCATCTTCCTGACTCCATAGCCCCTGGTCTGTTCTTCTGGGGCATTTGCGGTGGCTCACAAGGCAGGGATACGATGTGGGCACCCCGGAGAAATGGGCTGACCAATGGATGTCGTGTCCGATTTCCTGGGGACAATGAGCAACACGTCAAGCCATGTCGAGGGGCTAACACAACCGACTCACGACATGGCAGCGTGTCACCGATGCTTCCATATCATGTCATACAAACCAAAAACAATTAACCGATAAATAATACTTACAACACCCCCCAATAAACAAATACATTTTTGAACTGATCGATGGACGGTACGCACAAACTCACAGCTCACGAGAGCACAAGTACTCGTCACAAAAAATAGCGGTTGATCACGTTGCCCATGTATGTACGTGTTGGGGTGCCGATGTCCCGTGGATGCCACACGCACGCTACTCAGCAGCAGAACTCGACAACAAAAACGATCGGATTTTTCTATCGATCGAGCTATCGCACCTCCCCCTGTGCACTGCGCTTGTTGCCGGGGGAAAACCCCACCGCTAGCTCTTTAGGGATTGATGAGGCCGCAACTCCAGCCTCGTGTAAGCGGGGGTAGAAGGGCTCGAGAATGCTGCGAGCCGCTTGCTCGACTGACTCGCCGAACACGTGGACGTAAATGTAACAGGACAGGACAGGACAGGACAGGGCAGGACAGGACAGAGAGAAAACGACACAGAGAGGAGACGGAAGGAGGAGTCAGACACAAACCATGACGACCCATCCCTCCGCAACCACATTGAAACATAGGAAAGCAAAACGTTTCATATCAGATATATTTTTAAGAACGCTGCCGTCGCCGGTGGAACGGATTGGCCCAGATTACTTGTCCATGCTCCCTGCAGTATTACACGCGCGGATGGCTCTCGCGCAAACTTATCGGGCTGTCGTATGCAATAGCAATCGCAAATGCCCATGTTGAGGAGGAGGCTTGAAGAGGCGTTGTGGACGGGTCCACTCTCCCTCAAACATCAACCTGATACGGTGCTAAGTGTTAGATAAGACCGATACCACCCTTCCAACTCCAACCTGATACTATGGTTAAGACAAGACCGATCTCGCCGTGCCATGATTCTTGATCAGATCTTCCAACTTGCCGTGCACAGCTGCACCGGAAAAATTGACCGAAGGTCAAGCAATTGAACGACGTCGCCCAGAAAACTACCACCACCATCTCATCACATCTCATCACATCTCATCACATCTCATCACATCTCATCACATCACAACACATCGGCCGTGTCCTGACGTGGGTCACGCCTAGGCTGCTGCTGTGGTATGTACCTCTGACAACACACATCGTCCCTCGTCCGTTGCCCCTAGTCCCATTGTCATTCAAAAGACGACATAACCATATTACCGCTCCAAAAGTGGTCTCCATGACCCCCTACATCACATCATCATCGTCAATTGGACCAGCACGGACATCAGAAGGCACTGAGCGGAGGCCGGAACGGTTTTTAATGTAAAGACAACAACAACAACAACAACAACAACAACAACAACAACAACAACAACAACGACAGCAACAACATTGCAACAACTGGACGTTATCGAACGACACCGGTCAGCCAATCAGTGAGTCAAACAACAAAAGAGGAAGCACGACTGCCGTCGGCAATACGACAAACCACCGTAGCCCGGTGTGTGCTACAGTACATACCTTCGGGGGACGCATGGTCCTCTTTCGCCTTGGTGTCGGGGGAGAAATTGTACGCCTCCCCACGAGACTTGGCGTACCAGCTCGATATCTGTCATATTCATAGTATAGGACACCACGCCCAAAATGGTAGGCAAAAAAGGCAACGAAACGCGGGTCACGGTGAGATCATGCCATGTGACCCAATGTCGCGGTGTGGGGTTGCTCGATGTTATCAACCCATGTAGCCCCAATACCAGGTGTTGGTTCCACGTGCTTCAATCAAAGAATAAACGTCACTGAGCACATTTGACAGGAGGAAAGAGAGAGAGAATACCTTTATGGTAGTGACAGTCGCACACACTCAGCTACTTCAATGTTTTCAAGTCCAAGGAGGGGGGCAACAACGAAAATACAACAATAGAGCATCATCAATATTCTAGAATATCACACCGCCAGAGCACCATATCAACCCCGCCTACATGTAGCCGCCCATAGTAACCCCAGCAGATGACACCAACCGAGACGACACCAAAAACGAAACGAAATCAATTGAAAGGATACAAACGAAACGACACCAAACGAAACGACGCCAAAGACCCGCCGCACCTCGAGCGCGTAGTACTCCTCTTCCGGCGTGAGTGGCGCCTTGAATAGCTCCGACATCACGGGAACGATGGCGTTAGGAAGGGTTTCATAGTCTACCGCATGCCCTTCAGCCCCCCCGCTTGCGGCGGCGTCATCCACGGATTCCAACGCCGACTCCACCAGCGTCGCCTGCACGCAGGGAAGCGACAACGCGCAGACATCGATCGTGGTTCTAGGGTGAAAACCTTGAATATTGTCTTGTCATTGATTCCACCGCAGCCACCCCACACCGTTGCTACACGTCAAGGCAACAACCAACAACAGTCATTCAAAGCATGTACGCAGCGCACGTCTTCGCCTGCCGACGCGACGTTGACCACCACAAGCTGGGGCCGAGATTTAATCACAACAGCATAGAGGGCCTTAGGAAAAAGCCCTCAGAATGACCCCAGCAATGCAAGGTGCCAGAGAGAGACTAGACTCTGGCGTAGTGGACGCGCCATGAAGTTGCAAGCGTGCAGGTATGCATCTTCTAGACAGCCCGAGGGGAAAAAAACGCAAGGAAGCATCCACTCCAATGGTCGACACCATCTCAGACTTCGTTCAGACTCTCACCAAGTGTGCGGCGCAATAGCGCTCGAACGGAGCTTTCTTAGCCTCTGACGTCGACATCCCCAACAGCTTCGCGGTCTCATCGGGGGGCGAACCCATGGAGCGCAGGCACGGCGTACTTCGGCTCGGACGTTGGGTCTGAATAGCAAATACACGGAAGGCGTGTGCAAAGAGAGGGGGGAGCGTCAGTGGCAGGGAAACAACAATTTCGGGGTCAACTATACGTTACGACGCACACGGTACATGGTGTATCCCAATCACGACAGGGCATGGCGGGCATTGCGCAGAACCAAACAGATAGAATGGCAGCAGCACAAAGCCGTCGGCAGTATCAAACAATCGCCACGTCATTTCCTGTATGCCAATTCTCGATATCAACACCCGAACACCCTAACAGCGTGGCGGCCGAAGGCCAAAGGGTCACTCACCATTCCAGCCTTGAAGCCCAGCAACGACATCATCACCGGCACAGGGTCACGATACACGAAGACCCATGGTGTGTTGGGGAAGGCCTGCATCATCCCCAACAAAGCGCAACAAGGTACAGTAGACGAGTACGAAAACGATGCCGTTTGAGGGCCAACGTTGTCATCATGTACATTTCGCCATTGAAGAAACTTTACCAGGCACTGCTGTCATGGTACCTCGTGCGTACTGTACACATGCCACTGACAGGCGGCGGTGCCAGGTCCCCTTGCTCATGAGGATGCTGGCCTCATCTTAAGGCACGCGTCAGATTGAACCTATTGCTTACAACGCCAAGCAGGAAAAGGGGGGTCCCACTGCCGGCGTCAAGCTATGGCGCAAGTTTCTGTCACAATCGTCTCAAAAGCATTCCCCACGCCATCGGCCACACCGGGATGCAAGTCAGTCACCTGCACATGCACGATACCGCCTGCAATGAACCATAAAGCAAACGCAAGAAAGTAACAAACCTTCCGGTAGTAGTGGATGAACCGGGTCTGGCTAGACTGGAACTTGAAGAACATGTGCTTGTGGAAGGATGTCTTGCCCATGGCCAGAATAACCGTGCGAAGCGCTGCCACCTGTCGTCAACACACAACACGACCAAAAAAAATGTGGTTTGAGACCAATCAACACCCGGAGTATGTCATACTTTCGCATTGGACGGGGAAAAGCACAACTAGCGTAACAGCATACTTCACAAACGCCGACGTCGAACACCCGCCCTCGAGGCCCGCCTTTGACTCCTCCGCTCTTTCCTTCGTCGCCAAGACCAATAACCAACCGCTGCCCACGCCAACTAGCCCCTACCAAACGCAGCCCACACAAGCACGTATCAGCGCCTACATATGCAATTGCTTCCTCAACTGCCGTATTTCGATGTGCTCCAAGGGATGGCACGCGCTGACCTAATAACGACCAACGAAAAAAACGCAGCATCCGTCCAAAAAAAAACTACGGTGCTACATATGCCGTCGAGAGGCTGATTTTCGTTATCACCATGATTGTCACTTCTCACCCTCTGTTCCTCCGTGCAGCCCACTTGATCGCAAAGCGACATAACAGCGACTGGCGGCTTGGACTCCGAGTAGACAATATTATGGGGGGAGGACCCCATGAGGTTCGCCGTGAGGGTAGAGCCACACCGCGACATGTGGAACACGAACCCCGTTGGCTCCAGGTAGCCCTCAGGGTTAGCGTCGATCTCATCCTATTGTTGATGACGAGGATGATTGTCCATTAGAGTACGAATAAGTTCGGGGAGGACGGAAGACAAGAGACGGAAGAGAAGACAGGGTCAACAGCCCGCACGTGCCGTTGATAGTGCCACCACCCTGAGCTACTTGTACATTGATCGGATCGGATCGGATCGGATCGGATCGGACGTCAGAGATGCGATGCAATGCCCAACCTTAAACATCGTATATATCACGACGGGACGTTGCTTGAACTCAGTTGATTGAAAGCACACGCGATCGATACCCCGGCGCGCTCGGAACCATGTGCTTTGGCACCACATATTTCTAACCTCATCACCCGAACGAAATATCTCTGGAGTGTCCTAGCGACATATGAGGTCGTAAAAGTATGAAGACTACAGTACGAAAAGAAACCGTGCACTTACTTGCAGCTTGGAGATGCTAGTAGCTGTAGATTGTGCTCCCTGACACCCACCGGACAGCTTCACCAGGTCCTGCGAGAGTACATGCATTAACAGCACGGTGGCACGGTGAGATAGAGAGGTGCGGAGAATGTATACATAGCAACCACAGCCTGCACCTCCGACAGTTGATTCAAAACCCTATTACGATGGAAAGCCGATACAGCACCTCGTACAACACGGGATTCTCTCCATCGTGAACAGCAATATTGTTGGTGAGCGAAAAGACGCACCCTTTCGGTCAACGCGGCTGCACCACACTACACCAAACCATACCACTTTTGATGTTCGTGGGCAGTGAAAAATCGAACGAACACCTACAGCACTAGTCTACATTAGCAATGCACAGGAGTACAGCACGTCCATGCATGTATCAGTAAGAGATCTACACCGCTGTGATGGCAGCACGGGTAACACGATACCACATTCACTCACCTTAAACATGGGATACTTGTACGGCTGGTGGAAGTATGTATCCCGGTCCAAGCTGCACATGAACACCTGACGATACACCACGTTCAGAGAACACACGAAACGCAAAATGTGAGCTCAATTCTTGGGAGGGGGGGGTACAGTAGTTTGTTTTGATGCATTTATTTTTTTATTGTCTTCACTTCAAGTCAGCCCTCACAGCACTTGCTTGTGCCGTTTACTCCAACCCGTGGTCACACAGAAGGGTTTCCCCCTACCCACCCCTCTTCCGATACTTTGCCCTCGATTATGCGAGAAGGGTGCAGCACTCTCTTCCCTCTGTGTACACACGAACTAGCGCTTTCCACCCGGGCCAGGAACGGAAGCGAGACAAACACTCACCTTGGAAGAAAAGCTCGCTTACGCCGGGATTCGAACCCCTGACCCTGACCATAAGGAGATTTTGAGGATGATGCTGCTGCATCCTCTGTTGAATGCATGCCCGCTGCGCCTACACAAGTCGACTCGATCGACAGATTCTACACCAGCCTCCTGTACACGTGCAACACATACATTGTAGGAGTACTCTCACGCTGAAGCGCGATTTGGTCCACCACTTTGTCTTGTGATACGATATGTATGCTTTTTTGTTTCCACGGGGTTTCGAGAATTGTCCGAGGGAGGTAAGCAAATCACGTCAGGAGTATCGGGAAGAAGGTCTAAGAACTCACCAACACACCGAGCAAATTAGCGGGTACCAGCATCAATCAACATCCGCAAAACTTTCTGCTGCTGTTCTGTGAAACGACATACATACTTTGCCCAAACCCAAAGGATTATTCAACAATATAATAGCCTACAAAGAGAAACACACAACACACACAGGGTACCTTGTGCGGCGCTTACGGTAGGACCCAACAGCCAAGGGGAAGCCTTGTGAAGATATCGGGTAAGTGAAAACGCAAGCAAGGGTATCACGCGCACACACAGCAGTAGGCACTTGCAGACGTCATTGATAACGTACCACACAACTATTCATACTTCGTTTTCGTCGTTTGTGTTTTTTTTTTCAGCCGACCACAGGTCTCCAGGTCAACAAACCCTCAGAGGATACAGTACAGCAGTCGTCCCTGCTTTAAAGACACACACCTTGAGTCTCCCCGCTTGGAAGGCAAAAAAAACTCCGAAGCGGGGTACCCCGCTAATGAACAACATAGGGGGAGTACTACTGTTTTAAGCGTTCGATACCCCCAAAATGATGCTGTGCAGGACACCTTTCCAACTGCGCGGCACAACAGACAAGGCAAGCGATCTGCTGCTTCTGCCACTATTGCGTGTAGGTATGGGAAAATTTTGAGGACGTATGATAGTTATTAGCACAATACTATGTGTTCATCTTTGGTCCGTTTTCGTGAATCTATGCTTGGCTTGGTGAATTGTTCTTCAATTTCAGTGCTGCCCGACTTTGACCTCTAGGCAGGAGCGACGGGCTCCTATCCTTTTCGTAAAACTTGTTTTGTTTCTTTGTCTAGCACTCCGACACTACTTCTCGTTTCGTTCCAGGTATAGTTTTGGCTCCTTCCCTGCTTAGCAGGTAGCCTGCGACACGGATGGTATCTATTTATAGGTGTGTACAGCATCGTATTAGAGTTGCAACGACGGTTGGTTGTACTTCTATTGGGGGGGGGGGGGGTG